CCACAAATCCAGAAGGGTGTGTATTTTTCTATACATACACATATGCATATGCATATGCATAATACCCATATGGCATATGTCGTCTGCATATGCAAATCTCTGGTACTTCTTTTTTTTAGCAAAGCCCCTCCGCAACTTTTAATTATATTATGAGATGTTCCCACACTATTCATCACACAGTGCATCATGTATTGTTGTATGTATAAAATTTCTATAAAAAGTATACCTGCGCCAGCACTACTTACCTGTGTGTTTTTCATCTGATTTATAAAAAGTTCAATTTTGCTCAGGTTTTCTCTTAAATTTATTTTATTTACTTTTTTCTTTACATTTCATTTTTTTCAATTTTTGTAAGCATAAGCGATCCTAGTCAAGTTCTATGCACAATATATTAGACCGTATGCTCTTTTGCTCACGAATGGGTAAAGGCATTCGAAAAGACACCGAAAAGTCAATTACATCGAACGCTATTAACGAATGATCATAATTGGCTTTTGCGGGTTGATATCGCAATGCGACAGAGTTTACCTTGGTCGCAGCTACAGTGAGTGTTTAGCCTTTATCAAGTGAGCACAGACACGCTAACTTACGTCCATTTCCATATCTTTTTCACTCTTTTCTTACGATCACACGAATAAGGTACGACATCCTACGAGTGACTGCCTCGTATTAAACATATATATATATATATATATATAGGCATGCATGTGCCATTTATTTTCTATTTATTATCAGCCATTCTATGAACTATTGGTTAATCGTTCTTGGCTGGCATTTTAACTGCTCCCGCTTACTGCGAGTTTGTGAAGAAGACTTTAATTTGTTATACTTTTTGGGCAAGAGATAAACCAATTGCGCCATCTATGCTCATTTGCTTCAAATTGTCGGACACTTTTGGATAATACAAGATGCTTAAAAGTGAAAACCTAATGCGAGCATAACGCTAGAGATCTTTTAAAATGAAAGATTCAATAATAACATCATCGTAGAGAATTGAAACTTGCCTTAGTTATACAATGTTATTACAAATCTTTTATTTTTGTTCGGTATGCGAAACTGAACTGGGGAACTTGGGCGACTTGTAGACGCGTCTTTAAAAATTGCGACTTCGGAGCGGAAAAATGCATAATATATTTGCATTTTTAAGTTAGGATGTGTGCGTTAAAGCAAATATTGATTCGTCCGCATTAATCATAGATCATTCAAAGAAAAATATCAAGGATTTTCGGGGTGAATAATTAAAATTTCCAAAAAATTTAATTTATTGCTTTTGCATGGGAAAATGAAATCTCGATTACATTTCATCTTCGTATAATGTAAAGGAAAGAAGTTGTATCTTTGATCTTACGTGTCAAAGATTAGACAACTATTTGCGATTTTCAAATCCGTAGCATGAAGAGGAAGACTTTTTAATAAAATTTAGAAAACCATTATTGTTAAAGAATAGCTAGCAGTCTAAAGTGTTCTATAATGTGTAGATTTTCTCATTAAGAAATAAGTTGTGATCCTGGTAGTCTTGTTACAGTCGCGAAAGTATTTAATTCTTTTAATTTTGACCAGAAGCAAGACACCCTCACTGCCAACACTTGCATTAAGCCGCGATTTTTTCAACTTACTCTTTGATCTCCTGCATCTTACTAGCATGTAGTAGCGGGATGAATTTCATTAGAAGGGTAAAAGACAGGAAATATTTTGAATAATTTGCAAATGTTCCTGGTTGCAACGTTAGACTATGCGAAGATTATTGCATAAGCAATTCAAATAAATATCATGAACATAACCTTAAAATAAGCAAAATCATCCCTGGGCTTTTGAAAAACAGACCGCAACCGCATATATGGTACCTAAGAAAGCATGGGCGTAGTTTATCGAGTACGAAACGGAAACAAAGGTATTTATCCTCAGAATAGATTTTATCAACATCAGTACCATTTCATAATAAAGATTAACTATCACTGATGTGGATAATAGAGGACATATCATTTCTAAGTTCAATAAAAGCACTTATGGGCCGCGGATGACTTTCTATAAATTCGGTGAACATGTAACATTATAACACGAAAAGATTTCATTATAACAACATTACTCATCATTGGCCTGTGAGCTTCGAAATCCTTAACTCATGTCTACGTCGAGTTTACATATGTTGTTGTCATCGTAAATATCAGTAGTCGTCAACCAACCCCCTCCCCCGCCCCACAAAGTATTCCAAAGTTTTATTTGAGTTCCCCTGTAGCGTCACAGGGGGAAATTTTCATCGGCCGGATAAGAGTAAAAGCAATTCATTTTTCATTGCATATACGCTGCGCCTAATAGGCGTAGACAATAATTAGAGCAAAAATTTTAAAAAAGCTATGTACAGTTTTACAGATGTTATTTACAATCAATAACTTTAGAACAAATGTATTACATGTCAAGACGTAAATTTAAGCAATAGCAGGACATACAGCATGTACCTCGCTGGGTCGACGCAGCACTTGTCTAGAGGTCGATTTTGATATGAAATTTTTAGAAGAAACTTGAATCTATTAAATGTGAATCTATAAATATATTTTGACGTATTACCTGAGAGAGTTATCCCATATTAGTAGCGCCATGCTTTTCTTGTTGGTTGTGCTCTTCCTCTTTTAATTTCTTTTCTTTTTTCTTCACGACTTTTTAATGGTAAATTAGAAGAGTTAAGGCTGGAGCTAAAAGAAAAATAGGCGGAAACACTTAAGAAGATATGGGTTAAAAAATGCAATAAAAACCGTATAAAAAAGAATGGACACGTGAGTGTAAAAAGAAGAAAAGACAAACAAGTTTCAAACAGAAGTCTAAAAAAAGTACACAATGTATAAAATATCTTTTAAGTAGATAACGGTTTGTTTTTTTGTATTAGATGACTTGTACGATACCCTTTTGCGTTTCCTACCCGTCCCTCTAATTCTTTAGGCAAGTAATCCACAACAAAGCAATTCTCCTTGCTTGCTTTCATACTTTGAAAGCCGCTTAAGTAAGGAACGTAGTTAACGTAGTCCTTTTTGACGCAGGAATATTATCGAGAATTTTTGTACCGTTTTCTTCTTAGCCATCGTTTCCCAAGTCGCAATGGTCCACGAGCAACATTGATCTGATACTCTATGTTCCCAAGAAGTATGTTTGGGCGTTTTAGATATACGCCAGACCGCTTACAATAAAAAATTAAAACAAATTGACAAATTATTTTGTATTTTGCTTTTCCCTTTTGTTCATATATCGTATCCGTTGGCAGTCATGTTTTTGACGACTTTGTAATTATCGTTTTTACTCCTTAATTAAGTCAAATGCTTTATGGTCAGCAATTAAATAAATGATTCCAAATAATTAGTTATGTGCGTTCGGTTGACAGCCAGGCAAGCAAACGAACACAGGCACACAGACACTTGCAGGAAGAAAATAATCAAATAATTGTTTTTGGGCTTATCTTAATGGCAATGATAACATCAGACATACATATATATACATATATATATATTTCCCACCCCCGCTGCCAATACTTTGCACTAAACACTCCCAACGTTGACGTCATACGACACTCATATTCCATAGACATGAATACAGGAATTTGTCATAAAAGACAAAAGCAAACATTGCATGCATGTCTAAATTGGCGACAATAGCTCGCGTGCTCGACGTGCATAAAAGGGAAGTTAAAGGGCTGAGCAGAAAACAAAAAAGCAACAGTCGTCAAATAAAGAGGACATATATATAAATAATATGCATATATATTTATATGCGCGCGTGTGTGCGTGTGTGAAAAAAAAGGGCCCGCGGCCGGGGACTTTCCTATATTGCAGCCACCATTAACCAATATGCTGAGCAAGTCCATTTTGTTTTGTCATGCATACTTCTGTCGTTTCAAAAACATATATGCTTTGCAAATATTTGAGTACATATATTTGTACTATATATACCATCAAATTAAATGCATTTGATTTTTTCCTTTTTTTTTTTTTGTTGTTTTAATGGACAAGCACAGACACTCCTTTTGAAAGCGCATGTCATGGAAATTGTTTCTCTCCGGTTGTTTTTCAGTTCACCCTCAATTGAATGCAAAAAACTGTTCTCGTAATATTATTTATAGAGTGACCATCCCTAGCTTATTAGGTAGTTTTGCAAACTCCCCTTCCCTAATCGACAATATTGGTATTGTACTTCTTCGAAGGAATTGAAGGTATCGAAGCGTTGCAAACTTAAAGAAATTAATTTCCGTTTCCGTTACTTGTATTTTGACCCAAAAATTCTGATGGTCACCTTTAAATAATAATACATGTACTGTATATCTTGTAAAACAGCCCTGAACTTGTACAGCGGATAGCAACATAATCGTACGTATACACGACCATAACCAACATTTTCCATTGAAACCAACAGAACATAAAGAGCAGATGTAAAGAGGGGGACCATTGCAATTTATTGATGAAAATCGGCACGCGTAAATATATATAGATAATTATACTCACAAAAGTATTTGAAGAGATCAAGAGAGCAAGCAAACCGTTTCGTAACATTTATATTTCAGAATATTTCGAACTCGTTATTGAATATCGAATCAAATTGCCATTGAAATCCTCCTCTCAGCGATATTTTATGGCTCTGTAATTGATTTTAAAGTCATTTCTGTAATAGGTTTTCTTTCTTGTCATAATTTTAAATCAAACATAATTTTATATAGTAAACGTATTTTTGGATCAATTTTGGGTTTTCAAAATTTTACAATGAAAAATCTGCGAATAACTTCGCTTATGAAAATTTGTCGTTTCGCCCAATCGCCTGTCGGGTCTGGTACATTTAGAACATGTCTTATAACTGATGTAATTCAACACCATCTTCAATTCCTCAATTATTGTGATTGGTGTAAGAAGGATAAAGATAATAATAAAAAGTATGCCTTCATGTCTTTCGTGTCTATTTTGTCGATTAAAAATTTTTGAAATTTGAAAATGAATCGACTTTATTTTGCACATTTTTCGTTTCAGAAAAGACACCATGGTTGACGCTGCTGTTCTTACTAAATTGGAAGAGGGCTTTGCCAAATTGGCTGCATCTGACTCCAAGTCATTGTTGAAGAAATATTTGACCAAAGAAATCTTCGACAATCTTAAGGAGAAGAAAACTCCCACCTTTGGTTCGTCTTTGCTAGATTGTATTCAATCCGGTTTGGAGAATCATGATTCCGGTGTCGGCATTTATGCTCCCGATGCCGAGGCCTATACAGTATTTGCCGATCTCTTTGACCCCATAATTGAAGATTACCATGGTGGCTTCAAGAAGACCGACAAGCATCCACCCAGAGAGTTCGGTGACGTTAACTGTTTCAGCAATTTAGATCCCAATAATGAATTCATTATTTCTACCCGTGTGCGTTGCGGTCGCTCTTTGCAAGGTTATCCTTTCAATCCCTGTTTGACTGAAGCCCAATACAAGGAAATGGAAGAGAAAGTATCTTCCACATTATCCGGTTTGGAGGGTGAATTAAAGGGAAAATTCTATCCCTTAACTGGAATGGAAAAGGCAGTGCAGCAACAGCTAATTGATGACCATTTCTTGTTCAAGGAGGGCGATCGCTTCTTGCAGGCTGCCAACGCTTGTCGTTTCTGGCCCACTGGCCGCGGTATTTACCATAACGATAACAAAACTTTCTTGGTCTGGTGCAATGAGGAGGATCATTTGCGTATTATTTCCATGCAAATGGGCGGTGATTTAGGCGAAGTTTACCGTCGTTTAGTCTGTGCTGTCAACGAAATTGAGAAGCGCCTCCCCTTCAGCCATGATGATCGCTTGGGCTTTTTGACTTTCTGTCCCACTAACTTGGGTACCACCATTCGTGCATCTGTACACATTAAGGTACCCAAATTAGCTGCCAATAAGGCAAAATTGGAAGAAGTCGCGGCCAAATACAATTTGCAAGTGCGTGGCACACGCGGTGAGCACACTGAAGCCGAAGGTGGTGTATACGATATCTCCAATAAGCGCCGCATGGGTCTTACCGAATTCGATGCCGTTAAGGAAATGAATGACGGTATTGCCGAACTTATCAAGTTGGAGAAGGGTATGTAAGCTGTCATCGTTTTCGTACTACGCGGCTACTTTCATCATCCACAGCCGTTGAACACGACGTTTGGTGGTTATGACAATGACAATACGTGCTTCTTCTATTTCTTTCTATGTTTAAAGCTTTAGCATTTCTTATACTATGAAATTCTCTTATATATTTCCAGCATCTTGAATTTTCAAAAACATTGTCGTTGTCAACCATATTAAGAACCGCCATCTACCATCTTTTAAGTTACAAGCATCTTCTTACATATTTATTATGAAATAAATTTTCTTTGTTTTTTTTTTTTATTATTAATATTTAAATAAATAAGAAACAAGTTCATGATGTATGGAAGAAGAATTAAATTAAATGCGATAATTGAATCGACATTAAAAAAGGTTTTGTAATATCCCGATCGGCTAAAAAATACTACTGAACGTTAAAGAACAACTTGAAATAATTATCCTAAAAGGTAAAAAATGGAATGAAATCTTTGAACACAAAAAGAAAAATTACTTTTAATTTTAAGTCTCTTAAGTTTATAAAAAGAATTATTAAAAATAATAAAAAAATTATAAATTGATTTTATTTCTTTGCTTAGCGAGAGAATTTTTATTCGATAGTCGTTAGCAATGTAAGGCAAGTACATTAACGAAAACAAAAATGCAATCTGGCAACGCCTGTTTGCCAATTGGACAATTGGCGACTATGGCATTTCTATTTTAATCAGTTTTATTGTTTAGTAGCTTGGGGTTGCGTTCTTAGCACTTTTTGGTAAACATTAATTTTGAAGAATATGGTTGAAGCTTGGTTCATGGATGGTGAAACGTCGGATCAGCGTTTGCAGCATCATTGTAATCCACCAGAATATATTAATATGGACGAGTTGTTTAAGAAAACTGGTGTAGAATATTTTCAGGTATGTTATGTCGTTCTTATTTTTATATATGTTTAGTGGTGCGGTATCTTCAAAGTGTGTGTGTAATCACACACGCAATTTCATCCAAAACTTTGCTTCTATTAATGTAAGCTCGCAATAATGTTGAATGAAAAATATAATACAGAAAGTCGTCTTTTGAATAGGAAGATTAAAAAAAAAAAAAAAAGAATTGTTTTTCTTTTATTCTACGTGTGCATCACAATGCATGAATTAAAAAGAGGAAAAAATGAGTGCGTAAAAAGTTCAAACTAAACCTTTTGACGTCTTTTGGCATTGCTGATTTTGAAATTGAATACGTGCAGAACGAATAACGTATATAGGTGGCGACAAGTGTGTTTAGTTCCGCTATCATGTTGCACACATGCTGCATCAGATCAGCATGCGGGCCATATTAAGTTTTACATATGCTGATATATTTCTGAGCAACGCCAAAATCATTATTGTATTGGAATTATACGATAATGTGATTTGATATATTTAAGGATGATGCGCACAGCATATGGGTTCACAAAATATATAATGAAAGTGAACTTTTATCAAAAATTTGTGGCAATTTGAATATGAGTTCGTAGCGGTTTTTTCTCTTCTTTTCAGATCAATGCCGACGATTATGAAAATGATAACGTTTTACAAGAACTACGTAAAAAGCGAAATTATTCTTATGAAGACGAGATAACATGTTCCGAAAAATGTTTACCCGATTATGCGAATAAGTTAATATCTTTTTTTATCGAACATTTACACACAGACGAAGAAATACGTTTAGTTCTGGATGGTTCAGGATACTTTGATGTCAGAGAGTAAGTTATATATTTAAGACTTTTAGTAAATGAGAGAAATGTAAATAAAAATTCGCCTAGTGCCCAGGAAAAGTGGATACGTGTCGCAGTTACAAAAGGTGATTTAATTATTATACCAGCTGGCATATATCATCGTTTTACTTTAGATGTCAATGTAAGTCAAAATTGCGGAAATTTATATGCTCACCACCCAAGATTGATTAAAGGTGCTTTTAAAATACTCGAGAACAAATTACAGAAACATAATTTGGCAAGTTAAGTTTGAAATGAGTTCTCAGCGAATCCCAAACGTGATAATTAGGCCAAAGAAACAAAAAGGATTTTATTACTTCATTAATATCCACTGTCTTATATAGATCTGAGACTTCCTCCTTTTTAAATGAACCAATTCAATTAGAAGTTTACAAATAAAATCGATTTCACAATTAATAAACAACAACCAGAGTGGTGGTGGGTGTCCACGATTCGCCCCCGACGACAAATATAACCTTATTTTTATATTTTTAGAACTACATTAAAGCCAAACGTTATTTTGTGGGAGAACCAGTTTGGTTACCATACAATCGCCCAGCTGATAACATGGATTGTCGCAAGTTGTACTTGAAACACCAAGGGGAAGGTTTCCAGAAACTAAATAAAGTTTAAGCATGACAATAATTTTATATTATAGTGTATAAAGCTGTTTTGTATATTATAGTATATTAAATATTACATGTATGTATATGTATCGCAAATAAATACAAATGAGAATGAACATCAAACGTAAATGAAAGAGCCTAGTGAGGGATTTAATTTGAACTTGTGCGGTTAATATGTAAACCATAAAAATTTATAAAATCCGTTACAAATTAGAAACACGTTCTTCGTTACTAAATTTTATGTTTAAAACATGCCCAAGTTATTTTGTTCATTTAGCACATGGGATACATTCATGTTATGGCAATACTGTTCAACAAAGCAGCTGTTTTTTCTTTAAATAGTTTGCACTCAAATTTTTGCTGTTATACTTAAATTGCTTGAAGTTTCGGGAATGCCAGATAATTTTGTGAACTAAAGCAACATTTAAATAAAAAAAAAAACCATAAAGCAAGATTTCACTTTAAAATGGGTCGACCGCAATCAAGGAAATCAAGTGGTAAAAAAAAAAAAAAAACATTAAATGACCTCTGAGCGACATTGAGATAAATACAGCTGAATCTCGTCGCATTTATTGAGCACAAACAAATGGTCTTCAGAGCTTATCGAAGTGAGTTAATTGTTCAGTAAAGAAGTAACAAAAATTTTAGCTTCAACAAGCACGCGTTGTCATTATCTGTTCATAATTTTTGTAGAAGCGAACGTTAATTTTTAGAAAATTCGCAATAATGACACTAATCGTAGAAACAATACCGACTACAATTTTTGACGATCAAAAGCCTGGTACGAGTGGATTACGCAAAAAGGTAGGTATATTTTCAAGCTTTTGTAAATTCTTACTGCAGTTTTTTCTTAGGTTAAAGTTTTCACCCAAGTCAATTACACAGAAAATTTTATTCAATGCGTACTTGCGGCAAACGGCAGCTCTTTAAAAGGTTCAACCTTAATTGTAGGCGGTGATGGTCGTTATTACTGCAAAGAAGCTATTGCAATAATTATACGAATATGCGCAGCTAACGGGGTCAGTGTCATGTAGGCACATAAAATTAATTGCTATATAATTTAAACTGTCTTGTAGGTATGTAAGTTATTAGTAGGTCAAAATGGCATTTTATCCACTCCTGCGGTTTCTGGTTTGATACGCCACCACAAAGCTTTGGGTAAATAGTGTATATCTTATACAAAATTTTTCCTTCCTACAAGTTTCTTTACTGTTCAGGCGGAATTGTTCTTACCGCTTCTCATAATCCCGGCGGTCCTGATAACGATTTTGGTATTAAATTTAACTGCGAAAACGGTGGTCCTGCCCCGGACACTGTCACGAATCATATATATCAACTAACTAATGCCATTAAAGATTATAAAATAGTTAAAGATTTACAAGTTGACATTACGAAAGTTGGTATCCATACCTACACAATTGATAATCAACAAGAATTTGTGGTGGAAATTATAGATTCTGTCGAAAATTATGTTAAGTGTATGAAAGAAATATTTGATTTCGTAAAGTTGAGGAAGTTTCTAAGCGGCGAAACAACAGGAAAACCTTTAAGAATATTAATAGATTCTATGAACGGCGTAACTGGTCCGTATGTACGAGAGATTTTTCTTAATTGCTTGTCGGCTTTGGAAGATGGTGTAGTGCATACAAGGCCATTACCTGACTTTGGAGGGTTACATCCCGATCCGAATTTAACATATGCCAAAGATTTAGTGCAAACAGTGGCCAATGGCGAATATGATATAGGAGCAGCATTCGATGGTGACGGGGTAAGAATTACGGAGAAAAAATGTTTGTTCTTTTATTTAATTACCGTTTTTTCAGGACCGTAATATGATTGTTGGTTACAAGGCTTTCTTTGTTACGCCCAGCGACTCATTGGCAGTGATTGCTCATCATTTAGGGTGTATACCATATTTCCAGAAACACGGCATACAAGGATTTGCTAGAAGTATGCCTACTGCAGCGGCAATAGATTTAGTGGGACAGAAATTGGGTAGAGAAGTTTTTGAAGTGCCGACCGGTTGGAAATATTTCGGCAATCTTATGGATGCCGGTTATCTATGTTTGTGCGGAGAAGAAAGTTTCGGTACTGGATCCAATCATATACGGGAAAAAGATGGCATTTGGGCTGTGTTGGCTTGGCTGTCCATAATGCAGGACACTGGCTTAAGTGTTGAAGACATCCTAAAGCAACATTGGTCTACATATGGACGTAATTATTTTACTCGTTACGACTATGAAGAATGCGAACTGCAGTCATGCAACGATATGATGGCTTATTTAGAGAAGACTATTTGCGATTTAAGTTTTGTTGGCAGGGAATTTACTGCAGAAGGAAAAAGCTACAAAGTGAAAATGGCCGATAATTTTTCGTACACGGATCCGATTGATAAATCAGTAGCGATCAAACAAGGGATACGAGTACTATTTGAGGATGGCAGCCGCATTATTATAAGATTGAGCGGTACCGGAAGCACAGGAGGAACAGTGCGGTAAGTTTCATCAGCACTTCTTTTAGACAAAGTATAATTTGTTGTTAATATTCATGCATACTTTAGTTTATACATCGACTCCTACGAAAAAGATAATATCTTGGGCCAAGCCAGCATTATGCTCAAACCCTTAATTAACGTAGCCTTAGAAATATCGCGATTGCCACAGTTTACTGGACGTTCTGCTCCCACTGTCATCACATAAACTAATTCGAAGCGTAAAAATGCTTTCCATTCTACCTCAATTGATTTTATATGGATAATAAAAAGATCTTTTAAATATTTCTTAAAAAAATAAATTTGCTAATATCGTATCGAAAGAAATAAAAGAAGGTCTCTACGTTTTCATACTTAAACCTAGATATTCGTATTGATTTAATACTATTACAGGCAAATGATCAGTTAGGACTGTGCGTGGCAATTTACATAAGCATGTAAATGTTTCCATAAAATGTAAAGTAGTAATAACTTCGGGACCCAGCTCGTGCCTTCCACTAAAGTAAAGCAACTCCCATCAAAATTCATTTTAAAATGAAAGATTAAATTTACCTCAAATTGTTCTCCACAATAACGGTCACATACTGGCACAAATATGTAAGATACAATAGTTTAACATCTTTATGGAATTGTTGCAATATGGTGGCTAAGCCCATCAGCAACGGCATTACATCTATTTGATCCTTTGGGGATTTCGTTTGTAGTGTTTGAAGTTGTGGTGAATATTGCAAACGAGTCATCTGCGCGATGGTAAAAAGAAAATAGAATAACGCAACGTTATGCGAGTTTCTACACAATACAAAAACTTGTTCTATGGGATCATAGGACCCGATAAACATTAAGTAATCTGTGATATCCACTAAAATATTATTGTCTTTCAATTTATTTTCTTCGGCAGGACTCTCTAATTCGTTCAGTATAGATCTGAAAAAGAAATAGGTGTTAAGTGTTTATTGTAAAATTATTTCACGAAAGCAAAATAAAATAAGTAAGAAAGTTATATTCGGTGTACGCCGAATCTCGCATACCCACCGCTATGTTTTTCGCATTCTACTCTACAAGTTCTTTTATTTGTTACCCATATCGCTAATATTATTAAGAAAAAAAATAATCGCGGTGTCTACTGTATTCATTTTAGAATCAATTCATTTTCAGGCAGATGCATACACCTCCATTTAAGGAGTGCTCAACATAGTTTTAAACATTCGATCTTGTTTATGTTATGATAAATCTAAGCATAAAACCTCAAAACAGTGAAGAAAACAAAATTTAATCCCTTGTAATTGAGAGAATGCCAACAAGACACACAGACGGACTTACGTAGCTAAATCAACTCCGAATTTCAAGCTGATTAAGAATATATATATTTCGTAGAGTCTCTGAAATTTCCTTTTCGAGACTAATATTTATCAAAAGCTCCTAAGCTAAAGAGATACCGATCAGACATTATCCAAAAGGAGTCTGTTCAAAGCAACACGAAATCGGTGAAATCGGACTCTTATAAAACTCCTTTCACTAAGCTGGCGCCTTTTTGGAATTGGATTTAACGAAACGGATCCCAGGTAAAGTTAAAAACTGAGAAGTGTCAATAATAGGGTAGAAGATCAAAATTGTAAAATTGCCTGCAGCGTATTCTGAAGTTCGTCACGAAAAGTCTATTTTACAAAACGAGAATAAAAAAATATATAAGAATTTTAAAAAATTTAATTTAGAGGCATCGGAGGCATCGTTAATATCCAGGCAATGCACGCATTACACATCAGTTTGTAATACAAACCTGTTAAATGTTTCCAAAGCTGATTCCAAATTTTTTGCGTTGCATTTACTGCTGCGATTCAGCTCGTAGGCCAACTGCTGTCGTAGTATCTGCTTATGACCTACATTTAAAATCCATTCAACTAAAACGGGCCATACTTTAAGCCAACGTTGATGGTAACTAGCATAAAATTTGCCAGGATTTCCGTTATATTGCTCAGGAAATTGTTTTGCCTCCAGATCTGCAGTTAAGGCATCTAGTGTTGAAGACCACATTTTATCGTTGGACATGTTTCTTTGTAACTTTTCTATATTTTTTTTCAAATCATCTGTTAACATATGACTATAGAGCCGATCGAGACCAACCAATCCAGCAGGACCGATAGCTTCTCGCACTTTGCTAAAGAAGCGTGCATCCAGGATTTCTTTGTGCGGTGCTCTCTTCTCATACCACGTTGCTTTTAAGTCAATAAAAATACTATGCTGAGGATGAGTGCAATTGATTATTTCATGAGCCAAACGTCCTATAAAATTATTTGATTGACTTATGTCCCCCTGCAGAATGGGCATATTTGGTATGGGTATAGTGGAGCTTTGGTATTGAGACTGCCAATCTTGTATTTTATTGCGAAGATAAGAATTGCATTCTTTCTCAACGTTGTAGTTGATAAGACGTGTCAGCTCTTGCTGCAATATCTTTAAGCCGTGTATGTTCAGATAATCTTGTATATATTCAAACGAACGGCGATAGCCGTCCATAGCTTTGGCCAATGCTTTTAATTTATTTTCTAATTCCTGGGTAGAATGTTTATTTTTGTTATTTTGTGTATTAAAAATCAGACCAACATTGAAAGCATTTGCCAAGTGTTTGACCAGTTCTTTACGTATACCATCTTCGAGCAATTGCTTGGGGTCTAACTCAATGACGCCCACCAATGTGGTTTTCATCATTAATATACCTTCGGTGAAAACTGCTACGGAATGAGTTAATTTGGACACCATGTAACGATCTTCAAATTGAGCATATTCTTTAAGCTTATCCTTCTCCAAACGCGTGGGTAGTTCTTTTAAAACATCCGTTTGTAATTGTATAATACGAGCCAAGATATTGAACATGGTTTCCGGTATAATTTGCAATACTTTACGTATGTAATTGGCCAATTCAGAACTGTAATAATTGGAAACTGATATCAAATCTTCTGATTTGGCCTGATTGATACGCATCAAAGGGATTTCCAAAGCACTGGCCAGCTTGAGGAAAGTTGCACGCAAACGAATGACCGATTTTGGTTGCTTTTTAATACTCTCCTGCATAATGATGGTAAAATCGCGATCCATAAGATGCCAAGCATAACTCAAATCGCTAATCAACTGTATATTTATTAGAATATCCTCCTTAATATTGATGACCTGCCGAATACACGATGAGTAAATGAAAGCGAAATCTTTTTCATTCTGAACTTACTTGAAACATTTTAGTTAAATATTCGCTAGTTTCCACTAAATACTGTTTCACTTGCATGTTTGTTTGCAGATTATGAAATTCTTGTACCTCTTCTAAAGCTTGCACCAGCTGTATCAGCAGCCGGCCAGAAACATTAACATTATCTGCTTTAATGCTCTCGATTTCTTTGGAAATTTCGTCGAACCACATTTTTAATTGGGGATTACCTTCTAGTTTTATCAAAGGACGTGAACCGGAGAACGCTTCACTTAATTCTTTGACATGTTCCAAAGCTTCTTTTTTATACCTATTCCACTTCTCTACCTTCTCTTGCATCAGCGTACGCAAGATTTCTTTTACTGTTAACTCAAGTTGAGCGGTATTTAATAGTAACTCAAATAAATCGACATTTTTGTATTGAAGCTCCAAACGGACCAGGTCCTTTAGTTGATTTAGTTTTTGAGCTACCACCCCACGAGATATTTCATAGACTGGCTTGGAAGCATGCATAAAATACCATCTTAATAACACATTACATTGTCTTATAAGTGTAATAATTCTTGAGATATTCTGTAGAACGAAATGATCACTTAGCACACCTTCTCTTAATATTTCGTTAGATTGCTTGAGTAACTTGACCATCTTTTCTTTATGCAATGAACAAAATCCTTTGACTGTGTTGATCTCAACTACTGCTGTTAAAGCTGCTTTGGCAGCCTTAAACTGATCCCAAGCGTCCACTAAATTCACCGTAATGCCCATGTATATGGAAACCATCCAATTGTCGTTGAAAAATTTATCTACAATTTCACGCATTTGTGCAACTTGGGCATGCAGTATTTTTGGGGAGAAATACAAACAAACATACAACATAGCCGCTTGGTTCGATACAGCAGTAGAACGATGATCCGGATGTGGATAAACACTCAGTTGATTGTAAATATCATCACACCGTAAACGACCGATAACCATATCGATGAAATTTTCGTCGAACTGGAAACGTGCAAAATACGCTTCGGGATAGTTAGTTACCGAAAAATCCTTCATTGATTTTAGATTGCCTGCAAATGGTTGATGATTGGGTATATAGCCAGTGGATCGCAACAACATACAAACATCGTCTATGTTACTGTCACCGTGCGATTTAGCGCCACTGTAGCGATAATAAGAAATTAAAAGACGCTCTCTTACAATACCAGGTATATGAAAATCCACAATCAAAAGAATTACTCCGAAGATGTACAAAGATTCACACTAGAAAAGAAAATTTGATTTTCTCTATTTAAACCGAATGGCGGAATCTCTAAGAAAATCTCTTAAGCTTTTTATATAACATAATCATTATATTACCATCAATTGTTTGCCTTCGGAATCTTGAAGAACAGTTTCCACGGTTTGTTGTATGTAATAACCGCGATCCAACTCATCGATGAATTGCTGTAAGTCTGAGGCGTACTGATGAGTACTTTCGAAAGCCAAATAGAACCGTGTCAATAAATCCAAATAATTTTCCCGTATTTCGTCGTCTAACTCTTGAAGCTCCTGCCAAGAATGCAAATAAAAAGTTTACATTCAATTTATAATTACATGAGTTGGAAGAAAGCCATACCACAGATTGTTCAATTTTCTGCTCATGAGCCTCGGCCACTTTTAAATAACTAAAATCCATTATAATTTCGGAATACTTCTGCTGTTCATCTTTACTGTTCATCCTAATTAAGGTAAAAACCTTTTTTTATTATTAGTTTTATTTACTCTATTTTAATTTGCAATATCGTAATTACCGATATACATCAGGAATATAATCCTTGAGTCTTAGAATTTCCGCTATTATGGAGTTGCCCATTGATACAATACGTAAAAGATTCTGACCACAAGCATTGTTTTTAGCCAAAAATTCCGTCATTTTTAACGAAAAATCATAAAAAAATATTACAGAAGAACAATTTCGCGATATTATCTTAAAACAGGTGTTGTTTACAATGGTCGTATTGTTAGTGTTGTCGCTTTAGCTGCCAAATATAAACACATCAAAAACTAAAGCGAAAATAGCTACGGTATTAAATTTTATTCGCTTACAATTTTAAAATAATTAGTTATTCTATAATGAGCGGCGATTTTGAATTATGTTTTAAATAATTTGCACAAATATTAAGTCTGATAAAAGAATGCATTAAATGAAACGAAATTAATTCGTCATTTTGAATTTCTTAAGAACTCATTATCTGCACTAAGCAGTTATTTGCTAAGCACTTAGTTGGTAATCAGTTAATGTGTCGTAGTGCAGTCGAACAGTTGTCATTTTAAGGAAAAGTTTATTATGAATTTATTTATTTGGTGACATGCAGGAAATTAGAGAATAAACAAAACATAAAAAAAAAAACACTTAATAATTGAAAAGACTTTGCCGGCAAATGTAAAAAATTTCGCTTTTCAAATTTTTATGAATGGTGGCAAGAAGAATTTGAAAGATTGCACTGACCTTGAAGCCACTCTCAATATAATATGGTGGAGCGAGAAAGTTAAAGTCCCTTAAATAAATAAATCATTTCAATAACTGCATACTATTAAGACGACTAGACACACGTAGACACATCCCTTTACATGCTCTTACTCCTCTTTTTCGTACCTATCACTCGTGTTGTTTTTTTTTTTTTCAATAATCCCATTGGCTTTCAGCCAAAGAGGAAGCTTTAGAGACTCTATGAATTGGTTAAGCCGTATCTGTCCGTCTGTGTGCCTGTGTAGTGCTGACACTCTCTTCTGCGCAAAAAAAAAGATGTCGATTTCAAATTTGGTAGAAACAATGGCCGTTTTTGCGTGCCGGTTGGTAATAAAAATGGAAGAAATTGGTTACGCAGTGCAGCGTAAACTGAACGCAGATTCGTTTTTCTTAACAAAAAATTGTGGGTTAAATTATGAAAGTGAGAAGGTTGAAATTTTCCACATTTACTTTACGAAACATTCTATTCTTTATATGAAAAAATCGGCCATGCCCACGTAACAAGTGATTAAATATTTTTTTTTTTCACTCTTTGTAAGTTTAATATTTGTTAATCATGAGGTAAACAAAACAGAACGTTTAAAACTATTTTTTACATTCTTCAAATGAAGACATATTCATCTACATAAAAATGGGTCAAGTCTAAAATGAATAAGGTAGACACCGCGCCTAATAATATAAGCGGTATGGGTATCAAATAAAAGAACTTGGAGAGTAGAATGCGAGAAGCTAAGACTGTCAGCTCTAAATGAAATATCTCGGACGTCACGACAAAGAACCAATTTTCTCGTTACTATCCCGTAATATGGGTATCACATGAAAGGAGTTGGTGAGTAGAATAGCGACAAGCTAAGTGTGTCAATTACAAATTAATTGCGATTGACGCCACGACGTGGAAGGTTAATTTTCTTAAAAATACCTTTTAGTGAAGTGAAAGGTGAAAGATAAATTCCAACCCATCAACTTGTTCATGACCATAAATAAAAGCATCGGGCGTTTAAGATTTGAGTGGTGGTGGGTATACGAGATTCGGTCACGACCGAATGTACTTTTCTTACTTGTTAAGATGTGTTTTTATTTTACATTTGTTTTTATTCGTGGAACACGCCTGCAAACGTTCGAAGAAACGAAAAATGAACGTGCGTGAAAGAATGGGATAATTGGATTGAAAAAGAAAGGCTTTACAGCAGAGGCACTGCTGAAAGTGAACCATCGGAAGTTTCAGATTGTGTATGCGACGGATTGAAATATGCATTGAAAACAATACATATTGAAATTATTTAACGAGATCTTTATATCAATCTATTCGATTGATAGAATAAACTAGGTTGTCATTACGTTAAGTGCTGCGTATATTTACGAGTCGATAATTTTCTGGCTGACTGAGATTTATGTTGGACTTTAATTTATATTTTTTATCTAACAAACAGTACTTAAGTGAATGCGTATTATTGAACGATTAATGTTAATTTGAATATAGCATTTTTTCTTACCTTTCACTTTAAACTTTGCTTTAAAAGCCAGTAGGTTGTCATTATTTAAGAAGCGATCTCAAGATGTTTAAAGGTTATACACAACTTGTGGTGCAACAACGAAAAAAGTTATTGTTGGTTCAGTTTAATAATCCAAAAAAGAAAAATTGCTTGAATCGTTTTGCTTATATTGAAATAACTCGTGTGTTGTGTGAAGCTGCCCAGGATGATCAAGTCACCATCGTAGTGTTTACTGGCGCTGGAGATTTCTATTCAGCCGGCAATGACTTGTCACAATTGGAGAATGTTAACGATTTGGAAACCTCTATAACGGAATCTATTAAGATTTTTAAAGAAATGGTCAAGGCTTTCGTGGAATGTCCTAAGGTTATAGTATCTCTAGTAAATGGTCCTTGTATCGGTATTGGTACCACATTGGCCGGTCTCTCGGATATGGTATGGTGCTCCAAAAAAGTAAGATTATCCTTTGCTCCTTTTGTATGTAATTTTCATATTAATATTTGTTATTATTTTGAAGGCTTACTTTGCTACACCCTTTGTCAAATTGGGCATAGTGCCAGAAGCTGCGTCTTCTTATATGTTTCCGCTCATTATGGGCCGTTCTAAAGCGACTGAAATGTTATTATTTGGTGAAAAACTTCTACCTCATGAAGCTTTGCAATATCATTTTGTGTCACGGGTGTACAAACCGTCTGAACTAAACAGCGTTATATGGCCAAAACTCATTGCCTTTTCTGAATTACCGCCACAATCTTTGCAAATTTCAAAGACATTGCTTCGAAATCACGAAAAGTCGAGTATCTTGCAGGCTATTAATTCCGAATGCGATGAACTTTATAACCGCTTCCACAGTGAAGAGTTTTTCGATGCTATGATACGGTTTAATACGAAAAAGTCAAACTTATGAATACGTCATCGGGAAGTTAAGCAATAGTCACTTCTGGTTGTTGAAAAAAAAAAAAAACTTTTATAGCTTTTACAGCGGCTCGGATCGTATCACTTTTCCGACCATGAAGAAAATTGCAATTTTCAAAATTTCTCCACAAAAGTGGTTAGATAGTAGTAGTTTGGAAATTTAAATTGGTGTGAAAAGTGTGGGCCGGCTGGGAAATTATTTTGGCCCCTCTCTCATATAATGAAAACTGCAATTAATACCACAACAAACATATAATTTTCAATTCTTCGTGATCAAAATTATAGCAAAATAGTAATTTTATATAAAAAATGTAGAGAAATTTTGAAAATTACAATTTTTTTCCCAATATCGAATTTTCATAATAGGGCGTTATATGGCGAGTGATCGACAAACTGAATCGATTCGAAATATCTTCAATAGCGTTCGTCTTTGGGTCAAAGCGCATCACTGTACCAAAATTTCATCAAAATATTTTAAAATTGTGACCTGTAACTTGAGCACAGGCTTGGATCAATTCAAAAAATGATTTCAAATCGATGGATATAATGCAAGGTGGGTCTATCTTAAGGCCTTCTAAGTGTTAGATACGTTCGCATAAACCTAATATACTCTACATCACAAGTGGTGCAGGGCATCACAATCACTTATAATTAAATTCGAAATTTTATCCCAATCGCTTTAACATTACATTTCCGGCACTCATTCATTTGACGAGTTTTTGATTTTAAAAATTCAGCCTATGGTAGTCGATATAAGGATATTATGCAACAAACACACCAACTTTCGTTATTTTGATGCAAGTGTGATGCTGTATTTGCTATTTCGACGAAAACTCATCAATTTGAAAGTGAAGTTTCGTGAATCGTCACAGTAAGGATAGGAAGTTGTAATTAGACAGAAACATTCCCTGAACAACTAAAAATATTGGCCTAAAAAATGGTTGCGATTTGTTCATATACACGCTCGCTATGCCGAAGAATCTAAAGCAACTTTGAAAATTTTTTTTCAAATTTCCACTTACAGCTTTCGATATAAACTTAGTGTTAAGAAAACGACAGAAAAAGTAGGTTATGTACATTTTCAAAATTAAATCCTGTAAGTTAATAAAATGGCACTTTTGCGATAGTAATGCTGCATGTAAAACAAGAATTAATAAATAAATAAAAGAAAGAATTTTACAAATTTATTAAATAATGTTTTTAAAAGAAAAGCAAAACGGGCTGACTAAATTGGATTTTAGCAGCCTGTACATAGACAAATTGTCTAATTGAACCAGATGCGATTCTTCGGTATTCGTTCCAGAATTGGAGAGCGCGAAACAGAGATGAAGCGCCAGAAATTATTGCTAAGAAAAACAAGTATGAACATTATAGTTGGACAAGGCCGACCATTAAATACCCTAAACCACATTGTCGAGCATTCTTCTTATTCTTATTATAGAACACAAGAATTATATCTTGTGTTTAAGTGAAGGCATAGTTTTCAAGTGCGTACTAACGTAATACAAGTTTAATCCTTACATAGAGCAGGATCCAAAAATAGACGGAAATGGTCCAAGTTAATTTTTGTAATGAAATTACTATTATGGGTCAATTTTCATCATCACATATTAAAACTTAGACTTTTCTGTTCTACAAACGGGCAATTTTCGTGAAAATGCTTGTTAGGCAGGGATCCAAAAAATAGGCCGAGATGGTCCAAATTTGGTACAGTTTATTTCTTTTTTAAGTAAAATTACTATTATGATAAAATTTTCATTGCGAAGTATTGAAAATTATACTATAAATTATTATTTGTCGCAAGAGCTTCAGTTCTCCTTATATAAGAGTGGGTTCAAAAATTTCTCCAGCCAGTTCAGAGGTTTCATATCAATTTAGAATGCCGAAATGCCACTACCTAATCATTTTTGCCGAAAAATTTTGAAAATTATTATTTTTTTTTTTCATATAACGACTTGTCAGATTAGGGCGTCGAAAAATTGAACCGATCCGAACCATTTTCAATGGCGTTCGTCTATGGGTCAACGTATGTCACTGTAACAAATTTCATCAAAATATCTCACATTTTGCGACTTTTATCTTGGACACAAATATACAGGGACGGACATCAGACGGACACACATGGTTAGATCAATTCAGATTACGATTCTGAATTAATTGATATAATAAAAGGTGGGTCTATCTTAAGCCTTTCGTCCGCACTAACTTAATATATTCTATACCACACGTGGTGTAGGGTATAAACATTTCTGGGGAGTGAATAGCTATGGCCGCAACATTTAAAAAATCGATTGAGAGATAAATTCCCGTTTAAATTTTTAATCTCGATATAACATCACGTACATATAATGCACACAAATGAATAATAATGTCATGTGCATGCAATTATATGCCGACAACCAATAAGTGTTTTCAACACTTAAACAAATAACTAAATAAACTTTTAACACTTTTCAAAATTCCCATTTGTCGGTTGTTTTGATCGCCATTAATGTATTATGCATTGTATAATGGGTTCGTTACATTACCTGAATAGAACATATTTTTAATTAAATAGGATTTAATTACGAAAATTACTGTTAAATGTTACTTTATTTAGCAAAATTTTTCATTTAAAGTTTTATATTTGTTTAATATATATAAAATGTTTCAATTTAATTCTAATCGGGCCACGCGTTTTTATAATAAATGACACCAAAAGGCGCCTCACAGGCTTACAGGTAAAAAGGAATCCCGGACATGAAGCTGTTTATAGTTTATATTCGTTTATTTATCCAAACAAGCTATATATAAACATAAAACATTACACTGAGGACTTGTTTTCTTCTTTTTTTTTTTTTTATTTCAATTTATGTATGTGTGTGTAAAAATAAAAAAATCTTCCAAAATAAAACAAGTAAGAAAATTGTATTCGGCAGCCGACCGGATCATTTAAATTCATTAGCTTTATCCTAAAAAGTTCTAAGAAAAGAAATAAAAATATTACCTTTTCCTATTCTAGAATGTTACGGATAGGTGTGGCTGATTACTTCCATTTTTGTAAAATTAGAATAGAAGGGAATTTTTATCGTGTGTCTATTTTAGTTTATAAGTCACTATCCAGTCAAAACTCAAAGAGCAAAAGATTATGTTACACTGTAGGTGTGTCCCTTCATCGCTTTGGCCCAGTTTCAACAACAAACTACGAAAGTCGATCACTTCATTCTTGCAGCCGGGAGAATGTTTGAAACAGTTATTACACATTAGAGTACGTTAGAGTTCTCCATAGACTTTGGTTGTTGGTGTTCATGGCCCGCAAAGAAATTATTGATTGTGATATTGAAATGGTATTTACCATTCCTCAACGCATATCGTTCTCAAACTTTTGATTCGATTGAATGCTCCCTGTGCAAGATAGGGATTTGCATTCTAAATGTCGGCTTATGAGGCACATCGCGTGGACAGATTTGTCCGGAAAACGAATGGCTTAATTTTTACATCATGACTTATAGTATATTTGACTAAAATGTTTTTTTTGTGATAATTGAAGATTATAGTCGGGCAAGGCTGACCATTAAATACCTCACACCACCTTCTCTAACCCAATTCTCATGTTTATTGTAGAACACAAGAATTATATCTTGTTTTTATATAAAGGCACATTTTTCAAAACGTAACCTAATGTGGTACAAGTTTAATACTTGCATAGAGATCTAAAATAGGCGTAGATGGTCCAAATTTTGTCGAGCTCATTCTTGTATGAAATTACTGATACGGGCCAATTTTCATCATCACATATTAAAACTTAGACTTTTCTGTTCTACAAACGGGCGATTTTCGTGAAAATCAAAAAAAAAAAAATAAGCCGAGATGGTCCAATTTTGGTAAAATTATATCTTATTGTCGTATGAGCTTTAGTTTTCGTTTTAATAGAGTGCGTTGAAGAACTACCCCAGCCGGTCCAAAGTCTTGATACCAATTTAGAATCCCGGAATACCACTAGTTAACCATTTTCGCCGAGAAATTTTGAAAATTACAATTTTTTTTCATATAACGACTTTTCAGATTAGAGCAGTGGTCGAAAGAGTGAACCGATCCGGACCATTTTCAATGGCGTTCGTCTTTCGGTCAAAGTACGTCGCTCTACCAAAATTCATCAAAATTTCTGAAGAATTGCGACCTTTACCTTGAACACAAATTTACAGAGGCAGACATCGGGCGAACAGACAGGGTTAGATCAATTCTGATTGTGATTCTGAATCAATCTGTACAATAAAAGGTTGGTTTATCGCAAATCTTTGTGCGTATTACAAACGTCCGAACTAACTTAATATAACCTGTACTACAAGCGAAGTCGGGTATAAGAAAATGTTGGGAAGCGGAGGGGGGGGGGGGGGGGGGGAAAATAGTCAAAATATTAAATCGAAAATTGAAATGTCTTTCAACTGATCAACAAGGTCCGATTACGGTTAGACATTATCTAAACATTTTTCACTTCGTAGAAACGATAACTGAAAGTGAAAAGAGCTGCTTCTTCTCTTTTTACTACTAATATTATACAAACCGATTAACTCTGCCTATTGAATTTTCTTAATTCTTTAACACATTTCTACATAGATTTCGAATATTTATTATTTCTGCGAATTGTGTATAAATCTTGACAGAAAGAATGTATTAAGCGTTTTATTTTTTCGCCCGAATATACAATTCATCAGATGTATTGCTTAATCATTGTTGTTTTGTCTTTTTATTTTTCAAGTCATACGTAATATGAGGTCATTGGATAGGTGTTTGTATTTGTAATAAAAACTAAATGGTAAAGGAAAATTTTTCCATTTTTTTAAATTTTTTTAATATCGCTTTAGGCGATTCTTCTTCTTTAAAAGCGGTTCCATATAAATGACCGCTGGACTTTTGTAACATTTGTATCGTGGAATACTAATTTTGGACACTTTTCGACATAAACCTCTGCTCTTATTTCATTAATCATAATAATGAATAAAGTCATTGAGAGTTCGTGGTTTATAGGAGTAGGGCAATGCTCCAATATAGCCGCAAAGTAAAAACTCCAATCGAGTTATATCGCGTAACCTTTGTGACAAGCTTTCTCGTGATAAATTGTTGATGCAATGGGATATGCATGGCATGTTGCAATATTTTGTTAAAAACACATATCGTCCAAGTCGTGGCACAAAAAATCGTGTAAACGTATAGCTGCGTTATAGCGTTTTCCATTGATTTTAACTGCAATACCATATTTAGTCCATAAGCGATGCCCAACAGTTGTTTTTGCATACATAAAAGTCCTTTACGGGCGTCAGATGTGTAAGCCAAGAATCCTTGTGTACGAAGTCACAGTCAGTGCACAGATGTATGATTTCTTTAAATTTCCTTTCGGATGCAACAAATGGATATCCGCGAATACATATAATATACGCAGAGGCACTTGCGTTTTGAATACATTTTCGTTGATGTCATGATGAAGCAACGGCATGGCCGCGAAAACACTGAATTGCCTTTCCGCTGAAAGCACAACACTACAGCACACGTGTCATATAGAGTAAATACTTGCATCAGCGTTTCATCGTATAGAAGCAATCAGATTTCAAAAAAGAAACCAATTCAATTTGAAAGTTTCCAAGCTGAGCAGGCCTCGGCATTCTAGCAGCTTCAAAAAAATGAATAATTGACTTCTTGGGTTCGAGAGCGGCGCTCTTCGCCGAATTTACTTTGGCAGTTAAAAGAGCGCTAGACTTGACGGAAACAGCCGAACAGTTAGGAAACAATATCGCACAGGCATTGGATGCATAGGAAATGTTCTGCCACGCTGGGCACTACACAAAATTCACATCAAAATCATTACATGGCTATCCTGCCAATCTTTTGATCCTGACATCTTTAAAACGTATATATGTACGTCTACATGTATAGGTCTAAATATTTGTAATATTTAGATATTTTTGTAGGCTTGTATGATGACTACACATATTCATATATTGCTAAATATCAACATATCTGTAAACATTTAAATATATATTGTGAAATGATTCATAGTGATATCGATTGTTTCCGCTCGACAAAAATGCTGGTAGAGAGAAGCGATTGCGACAAGTAACTGACTATCTGAACATAGGAGTTCGTTTCCTTCTTGCAAGCATATTTCATGAGAATATAGAATATCGCGATTGTTGCCAAGGTTAAGAAACTGAATGCAGAGTAAACAATAAGAAACGAGCTCAGTTAATGAATATCATCCAAACAGCGCATAAATATGTTTTGTGAATTCGACAAACCTAATGGGATGGCATAAGTCCTATACTAGGAACGGTGGTACTTTGTTTCTTTGAAAGAGCAAGAAGATGAGAGCACAACGGTACGTTGGGAACACTGCCACTGGTAAATTTTATTAGTGTGGAAAAAAAAAAAAAAATAGAAAGGGCTTGAGTTGATTAATTCTTCGTATAGCCACCCAGCCAGCCAGCCATAAAAAGGAGAAGGAAATCGAATCGAATTTCGTAAGAGGCACGGAATTTATTTGATTTTATTTATTATTTGTTATTTCTCCATCATATGTTTAAAGAAAACACTCAATCGTTTACAAATGAATTGTTTTTTGTTTATTTATTGTTGTTATTAAATTATCATTTTTTTTAAAATTTACAATAATTATATTAAAAGTAGGTATAAAAAATTGGTAAAAACTATTATTAAAGTTACGATAATCCTCAAAAGGAAATTGTAATCGAATTTTTAAATGTAATTAAGAATTAAAATAATTCATTAATAAAATATCAATTAATATTATTAGCAACAAAGAATATGTATATACACACGTTTACACGCTATTAAGCTTTGACATGATATTTTTTTTCATAACATTTTTTCAGTGTATGTGTTTGAAGAGACGGTAATAAAGCCACTCTCTGAACTTAAATACAAGTTTTAATTCATTATTTTTCTTCCTCTTCTTCTTCTTTTTCTTTTTCTTTCTTTTTTAATACTAGGATTATAGTTTATGTTAACTGACTACGAACTTTAAATTGTATAATGAAGCAAAACTTGTTACACTTAAAAATTTTTATATGGCATACATATAAGTTAAGTACAACGACCGAATGATTTTCGATTTTAGAGCACTTACGGCTTGAAAGTGTGGCAAATAAGCGATAGAATTGAATTTTGTTCATTTATTGTTAATTATAATATAACATACGAACTAGCAGCAAGTTGCTTGCAGCAGGTACGTTAATTTGCTTTCTTTCGTTTCATATTGAAATTTTGTATTGTATTAATCCCTTTATGATAAAGTGATTTCAATAGCGATTACTTTCTCTGTCCGAATATTTGCCACTCATTTTGCTAACTGAATAGCGATCCGAGTAAGCATCATATTTATCCGCTTTATAATTGATTTCTTGCGGTGTATAGCCGATGTTCTTCTGCCAATGCCGAGTCCAATATAAATCCTCATTACGCACTTGTGAAGGTGTTTTAGCATCTCGACATACCACCACACAATACACCATACAACCGATTAAGGTGAGAAAGCCAAATATCAGAAAAATTATACCCAAAATCCTATAAGTGAAACCAGAGAAACTCTGCAAATAATTACAAAATGATTGCAAACGAAATGCTTACCACACATACACCGGTTCATAGAATTGCACCACTATTACGAAACCCAATGTTACTAGAATGAGACCTAAATTCAGTAAAAGCATTAGACAGCACACGCCCTTAACGTTAGGACAAAAGGGATTAGGAGCGGACATGGTTTCAATTTTCGCTCCACGTTTTGTAGTCGAGCGTGCGCTACGTCCAGTTTTAGCAGTGCTCGCTACAGAGTAAACGCTTCGCGGCCCGCCACGGGATGCAGGCCGGTGACTATAGCGGCTAAAAATACAAAAATGGTATTTATTGTTGTTTTAGTTAAAAGTAGATAAAGATGAAGTTAGATAGAAATTTAGACAGATACATGCATAAATACATAGATAGATAGATAGACAGATAGATAGATAGATAAAGAGAGAGAGAGAGAGAGAGAGAGTGAGAGAGACATAGAGCACGGTGGTATACCCTTAGCACATGTTCCTTTCTGAAACTGGCAGAACAAAATATACAGATTATCTTCCGTGCTCCTTTCTCACCAAAAATCTCAGATCATTTTGGTAGACCATGTCTATTTGTAGTCTTTATCTATTAATGTAACGAGTATATTAGCAGTATACGGGTTTTTTTTATGGCCTTTGGCTTTGAAGCTAATAGGTACGCGAAAAATTATAAAATTATTTGGATTACGCGAATTGTGTGGTGGAACTGCGTGAATCTTTGTTACGCATGCGCTTAAATTAATTTGTGCTGTTTATGGGCAAGATAAATTTAAAAACCAGCAGCTAAACTGCGATGGCTTACTCTTCGGTGGTGGGTGAAAAAAGAGGTTCACAACCTGGGCGATGCCTACATAAAAAATTTTACACACATCGGAGCACGGTAGATTATCAGGCGTTGTTTCGATGCCACACTGTTGAATATAAGGTTAATATCCAAAAATCATTCCACTATGCAATGCAGAAGGCTAAACGAAAGATACGAATTTTGCCGTTAACTTTCAAAGAAATTTGAATTAAAAAATATGAATCGATCAGAGAAAGTGAGTGATTTCGATATTTTAGATGTCAAGGTAAAATTTAAAGAGCCTTAGTTGAGACTTGATATGCTCACCTAATTTCCGAGGGCGCTTTATAAGCGGCACTTGTTACATAAATATCGCTGCCAGCGTCGCCCCCATGATCATAACTTAAAGCTGACGGAGCTCGTGGCGGTATACGTTGCGGCGGTGGACCGTTTAATGGCCGCGGACCGCCACTATCCACCACAGACGATTGATGATGATGGTGATGATGATGATAGTGTCCATTACCTTGACCATTTAAACGATTTTTACGCGATGAATTATAATGACCTTGAGGTGAAGTGCGCTCATGAGTAATAGTATACTCGGACATGGTGCGTTCAGAGGGTGCCCGATGTGATTCCTCACCATCCGTTGAATAGCCACGATTCGAATGCACATACGGTGGATCGGGTGTTAAGCGGCCATGAGTAGCCACGTAATGGCCGCCTTTTATTCTAAACGTTTATGAAAAGGAATAATGAACACCGTATATGTATGTATATATACATATATATATATATACTTTAACTTACTTTTTAACTCGCCTCTCTTGCATTTTCGTGTTAAAAAATGACTTTGTAAAATTAAACCAAAAATTTATAATTCTTGGTAAAATTTTTGATATAAAAATGTTTTGTGTTTCGCCGTCACTGCTGATTTTTTTTCTCTTCCTTTCATTAGTTAATCCAGTACATTGTGGTGTCGCTTCTCAACTGAAAAGGAAAGAAAAAAATTAAATCAAGTAAATGTACTATGAAAATTTTGCAACAGGGCTTGACCTAAGCCCCTTTCTAGACAGTTTTGAAGAAAAAGTTACGATTTATAGAAATGACTTGATTACGTAATGGCTTTGATTTCTTTACATTCTGGCATACTGAATAGTATGTCGCAAAATGATCTTGTACAGCCTGTATTTGTACTCATTTCTTGTGGTATAGGAAGCTAACAGTTGATATAGGTGATAATAGGCCATATTTTACCAGGTTACCAATGGCATTCAAATAAGGTAAATGAATTAACGTTTGCCATTTAAATTTCTTTAGTTTTTAGTAATGTCGTAGTCACTGTCAGCGATCAATAATTGTATGTTGTTGCAAAGAAAGCATAACTTTTCAAAATGAGAGCTTTCCTTTTGCACCGATTTAATCAAGCTTCCAGCTGACTTTCATTTTTTGCCTTAGCTTGAAAAATTCATTATCTACCGAGCAGATGACAACTGCTTATGTGGATAATGAACACACCGCAATTTCGTACAACCCGTCCAGAACGACTCGTCTCTCTTTTGCCCGCGCTCCCTTCTGCCGCTACAATTTCCCTTCATCAGTCATTACTTGATTTGAGATTCGAAAAATATTAATTTACACAATTGCGCTTAAAGCTTTGCTTAAAGATTTGCTTTGCTTTCAAAGAGTGCACAAGTCCTTTGACCTTTCCTATCTTCCTGACTAGCAGGTGTCACTGCATGATGAAATAATCAAGCGTTTGCTTCTCTGAGAACAAACATCTTGGCTTGTTCACCACAAGGTGAATTACCGAGTTTTTGAGTGCAGTGAGTTAATGGGGTCGCGTGCATTTACCTGCATCATTGTGTCCCTTGAAACTTCACACAGTAACTTGCTTCTATAAATGAAAAATTTTGGAACCATCGTTTCGCATTGCTTCATCTTTATGTAGCTAGATATACTTGAGTTGAGTAGCGCAACTGGAGCACCATCAACCTAATTATCATTAACAATTACTTGATAAGAAGAGCCGTATACCGATCCGCCTGACTTCATGCGACTTCATTTCCTTATGTTTATTTTTAGACACTTACGCTATATTAACCAAACTAAACGTGATAAAAAATGAAGTGGATATAATTTCACTTATTAAAGCCTACTTTACGGCTTTAACCGAATTTAAAGCAAAATTCATTTTTATATCTCAGAAGGTTACTATTATTATGCATAGTTATAAAATTAATAAAATACGTTCTTTGGAAATGAAAAACTTGAAAAACAAAAAAAAAAAAAACATTTTTATTATTCAAGTTTTGAAAAAATGTACGCGTTTACTTAACCGTTAGAGGCGTTCAAGCGTTTTACACAGAAAGTTACTTAAATATGCCAAAATGAAAGTAAACTTTTTTCTTTTAATTTGTTTTTTGTTTTTTTTTTTCTTTGATTTACACATTTTATATATTTATAGGTAGAGAGCTAGCGTATTGTTAACGTAATAAATTCATGTTTAAATTACATATATTTAATTACCGTTAAAAAATAAATGAGAAACGAAAAGGAAAATGTAAGGTTCAATCTTTAGAGAACGTTATTTGATTTTTATTACAAAATAATGGGCATTTGAACAATAAAATTGAAATATCCGGTGATTGCAAGAGTTCAAGATCCATTCGCTTGAATTTTCAATGCCCAATTACGGAAGATATTCCTAAAAAAAATGTATTCTCTACAATTCCATCCGGGACATAACAAGATTTCCATTAAATACAATTTTCTAAAAATTCTATTCTTTCGATGCCACAGATATTTCAAGTTCTATTTCTGATTACATTGCATTACATAACTAATTTTTTTTGCTGTTTATTTGCTCTTTCAGTTTGCCGATGGTTGTTGGGGAAAGACACCAAGAAGGCCATAGAAATTTTGTTTGAAGCTGTTGAGGGTTTGCCTTAACGTGCTGAGTCTATATATCAAGTTTTAAAGAGTGAAATGTTAATATTTAGTCTCCCGCCACTCTTTCTTTAGTGATAATAGCGATAGATCATTACTCTCGGACGACAAACAGGCGCCCAAAGCTATTATTGTAAAATCTCTCCATTGAGTTAGTATTAGGGGCAGGATACAAATAAAAGTCTTAAATATATATATATATATATATATATATATATATATATAACCCTCGCAACATGGTACGATAGAAAGAAGAATTTTCATTTTTCTACCCCTCATCGCCGAAGGCTGAGGAGTGTAGGCATTTTTGCAAAACATTTGTAACGCCTAGAGGGAAGCTTCAGAAAGTATATATATTGTTGATCAGCATCAAATTTTGAATCGATTTGAGCTTTTCCGTCTGTCCAACGAAAATGAAGCTTTCGACTTCAAAGTTGGCAGAAACATTGAAAGTTTTTTGCACGCAGGTCGGTACTGAAATTAAGTCAAATCGATCGAAGAACATGCCCGCACCATCACCCAACCTGAGAGCACCGCTGTTTTTGTCTGACACGATCGCGACCGGGTATAATTGTCCTACTTGTTTACTTTCCATTTCGAATATTAATTTTGCATATAAATGAATAGGATTAATTTTTTTTCCTTTTTTTTAATAATTATATTGAAATCGGACAGAGCTTTCGCCTTAACCCAACCAAAAAATGCAAAATTATGTTTGTATTTTACTTAATTTTATTTGTATTGAAAGTCCCTTGCATAGCACCTGGAAGTTTATATATAATACATACGTATATGGGTACAGATGTTTTTGATGGTTTAACGTGGGTACACTACGTTGTTGTACGGTTTAACCACACGATGTCCGATGACACACGGGTTAATTTTGCGTAACCGGCGCCCTTCAGAATGTTAGACAATACCTATAAGCTAAGGGCCAAAACTACACTGGAGAAACCAGATATGTTTACTCTATATGGCTCAATAAACCCATTGTGGCAATTGTAGACGTCTATCATTACCTCCAATTATGGAATGATAGAAACCACAACCACCACGATATCCCCCGAAGGGCCGTACTCAGCAGTCAGGACTCACACATTGGTGAACTGCTGCGTTGAAGCTGGGGACTGGACATATTACCTTCCGCCGCGCTTTCCACGTGCAAGCTTCTCCCCGAAGGATCTTGGCAAGCACCAATCTGCAGTACACCAATGCTGTCACCTTTATCCACAGGTACTCGTGACTTAGTGAGTGGGCTCCTGACCCCAGTGGAGCTTAAAGTTAGACTATAAAGCCTTTAGCCTTACTTTACGCGACATATTCACTCTTGCTTTTGGATTAACCATACAATCCCGGCTAGCCAACACCGGACTACCCTTCTTCAAGATATATTAGTACCGGATGCTATATCTGACGTGGCAGGCGGTACCATGCTCTCGACTATTACCACATCAACGTATTTTACGTAACCAGTTACCAGATGGTTGGTTAGTATTTTCTTCTGAGTAGTAGGTTACGAGAAGCGAGCGCTTCTTCCAGAAAGTTTGTCGCCAAGGTATAGATAGTTCAAGCCTTAAATTCTTCTTGGCCGGTCAAGATCGTTTCCAGGTATCACCACGAGGAGGTTAGAGTTTTGGCACATCTATGCTCCTCCAAAAGCATAATTTATATGAGTACGCATTGAATATAGAATTAATTTATTATTTGTTATGGTGAAACTAAAACAGCGGGAAATCTTTACATCCAACTGAAAATTTCCCGAATATTGCGTACTAAACGACTATTAGATGAATTATATAAAGTTCATGGCATCTTTGCAACTATTTGTAGAATATTTCGTATTCTTTTGTTTAATTATTTGAATCGAGGTATTTACTTGGCATTTTAGATTTTTCATATCACCTTGTTTATTAAATTTATTTACATATAATTAAATTGTTTAAAAATGTTTTACCGAATTCGAAATTCGTTTTTCATTTCAACTTTATGATACACGTGGGCCGTTTTACTTTTTTCTTGTTTCATTTCGTCAACGTTGCGGTGAGAGCTTTAAAAATAATTGGCAAAAAATTTGTTTTAAAATGCAATCGCATTTGCATGCACTTGAATGTATGCATATTGTTGATGCATGTGTACATAAATTCAGAAGCCCGCAGGAAAATTTATCCTAACTGTGTTTGAACAATCTTCCTGAAAGAGAACATTATTTTCATCTCGAATAATAATTTAAATGCTGTAGTAATGAAATAAAAAAAAAAAAATAAATAAATAAATAAATTTCCTTTATAGAGAGAGATTCTATATACGCACAAATACCAACGGTTTAGCTCTATAAGTAGTACAGGTAGTCGAGTATGCATTTCATTTCATAGTTGACTGCGTGTGATTTATTTGTGCTAGTTTCAGTAAAACGAGTCAAACTAATTATATATTAATCTAGCAGAAAGGCATTTGAAAACATTCATTCAGTCATTCAGTCATTCAGTCATTCATTTCAGTTATAAAATCATAATAAGCATAAGTGAATTAAATGCAGGCACAATAATTGCTTTGAATTTAAACGGAATACCAGAATTCGTTGCGATATTCATTGATAGCCAATTACTTCTACCCAACATCATCACATTTCTTCCTTCTGTTTATCTTAAAGGATTATCTAAAAGGGTTTTTTAAATAAACTTATAATTAACTTTTTTGCATTGCATGCGAAACCGTTTTTCTCCTCTCCACAGATTTGCGAACAAAACGAACGGCCGCACTCGTATGAAACTCGAATCTCATTCTTATTGCGATGGAATTTTCGAATCGTATTTCGCGCTATTAAAATTGCAAAAACAAAATTTATGCATTTTTATACCCATCATCACAGGATGATTCATTTTGTCAGAACGTTTGCAACGCCTGGAACGAAGCTTCAGAGACATCACAAAATAATGGTATATCTCTGGTTCGCAAAAACGAAGATGTCAACTACAAACTGGTAGAAGAATTTGGAAATGACCCATGCTATTCAAGGAATGCGCCTACAATGCCGACAAGTC